TTTAAAACAGAAAATAAAACAAACTGAAGAAGGGGTATGTAGTGGTTACAGTATTTGGAGAGGACTGCTATGCAAAGACGTTGGAGACGAATCACGCGTAGTAGTTCCAAAAGTGATGCAGACGCAGATATATTGTCATTGATTGAAAATTTTTATTGGATCCCTTGTTTGCGACAAAAAATAGAGAAGGTAATTGAGAGTTGTGTTTCGTGTATTTTAGCTGAGAGAAAGATGGGAAAGCCGGAAAGATTTTTGCATCCAATTGATAAAGGAAGTTGTCCTTTCCATACCTTTCACGTTGACCACTTAGGTCCGCTAACTTCAACGAAAAAATCCTATGGCCATGTTTTCGCAGTAATTGATGCATTTACTAAATTTGTGTGGTTGTATGCCACGAAATCAACAACCACCGCAGAGGTTATTGAAAAGCTTCAGCAGCAGTCAATTAATTTCGCCAACCCAAGACGCATTGTAAGTGACAGGGGAACAGCTTTTACATCAAAGGAGTTCGCGGCGTATTGTAGTGAAGAAAAGATTCAGCACATTTTAACAACGACTGGTATTCCCAGGGCAAATGGTCAAATTGAAAGGGTGAACCGAATATTGATTCCTCTGCTGACGAAACTTTCTGCTCCAAAGCCAGGTGAATGGTATCGACATCTAAATACTGTTCAAAACTTGATCAATATGACAGTACATCGAAGTACAGGTGTCACTCCATTTAGATTGATGTTTGGAGTTGAAGCGAATACTAAGGATGAGCCGCGGTTGTTGGAGATGCTAGAACAGGAGTGCATTAGTGCTTTTGATGAGGAAAGAAGTGATCTACGACGTCAGGCGCATGAAAGTATTCAGCATCTTCAGGCTGAGAATAGGCGAAATTTTAATAAAGGTAGAAAGAAAGCATCCCGTTATCGTGAAGGAGATTTGGTTGCTATTCGAAGAACGCAGCAGGCACCAGGATCTAAGTTAGCCCTTATCAAATTGTGAAGTGTTTACGAAATGACCGATATGTTGTACGTCGAATTGGTGAGATTGATGGCCCCAAGCAAACATCCACAGCTGCCGATTCTATGAAGGGATGGACATTTGATGACGACGAAGACCTATTCCGAAGTGATGATGAAGAATTCGTAGAGGAGCGAAACCCGCCTAACTAATGAGGTGACATGCACTCGGGTCGAGTACTTGTTCAGGATGGCCGAATGTGGGTTTATGCAAATATCCTTACTTACATATA